GAAACGTCTGCTGGTTGAAGCTGTGAGAGGAGATGAGCTCTCCAAGGGAGATACTAGAGAGAAGTGAAAAGTGAGCCTTAGGTATGCCCAAGAGGAAAGAGGGTGAAATGAAGACAAGAAAAGGGCCAGTGGAGCAGCAAGCAGAGAGCCAGGAGAGGCAACCAGCATGCAGCATGGCCTGCAAACCAAGGGGGAGAAGAGGGTTCATGAAGAGGGTCAACAGAGCTGACTGCTGCCAATGATTACTGAGAACAAAACCAAGAAGAAGCCATGGCATTGACACATGGGAGGTCATTTGAAAGTTTGGACCGAGCAAGTCAATGGAGTGGAAGCTAGATTGTGGGAGGTCATGTAGGCACCATTACAGTTGGGATTTATGACACAACTGCTGTGTAGGGTGGAGAGTTGTATGCCCGTCCCCTGGCCCCCTGCAGCGGTAACCCGTTGTGGTTCTCATTCTCTGAAGACCTGGTCCTCGGATTTATAATTCTGAAATCATTATTGCATAAGAGCTGAACAGGTTCTAGGGCCTAATTCATGCCAATCAAACTCATAAGAAACTGGTTTATCACACCACAGGCCAGGTTGCTAATTTTCAATGAGTGAGATTCTTTTTCAGTGATGGGAATATTTGTCCATTATAGAGGGCTCCTCTCCATCCAGGCATGAGCTACTTGGAGAGCTAAATTATTAATCATCAGGTTGTTAGGCAGTATAAAAGAGAACAAAAGGAGAAGGCTAATCCTGAGATGTATTTCATCCAGGCCATGGTGGAAAACTCCTCTGGTGTTCTCTCTGCGTACTCCTGACTTCTTAACCTTGAAGTCCACCAAAATTCTGATCTCAGGCTTTGTCTTTTTCTATTTATACTCACACCCTTGGCAATCTCATCAGTATTATTGTTAAGTACCGACAACTCCCAAAGTATATCAGCCATATCTCATCCACTTAAGCTTCAACCTCATATGCCCACCTGTTTACTTGACATCTTCACCTGGGTCTCTGGCAGACATGTCAAATTCTACGTGTTCAGTACAGAACGCCTGCACCATCCACAGCCTTCCCCGGTGAGTTGATGGCAGCTCCATTTTGCCCACGGCAAAATTCTTGGAGTCATCTTGACTTCTCTGTTTTTCTGGTATCTCCCGTATCCAAGCCATCAGATAATTCCGTTGACTCTATTCAAAATACAACCAGAACCAGACCACCCTGTGCCACCTGGTCTGAGTCACCCGCATCTCTTGCTTGGATTAGCACACTGACTTTGTAACTGGCCAGTTCCCAAGCAGAAGCGAGAGTGAGTTTTGGGTTTTTTTTGAAACCTAAGTCAGATCGTGTCACTCCTCTGCTCAAAATCTTCTAATGGCTCGCGTTTGTTAAGGACCCGTCCACCTCACTGGCTGCAACTCCTACCATCCTCCCCCGTGATCCCTCTGCCCCAGCCGTCTGAGCTTCCTGTCTTCCCTAAAACTTGCCAGACATGCTCCTGCCTTGGGCTTTTGATGTTCCCTTTGCCCAAATGCTTTCCCCCCAGATGCCCATTGGGCTCGCTCCTGCCTCTTCAAGAACTTTGCTCAAATCTCAGCGGGGCTTTCCCCTCCACCCTGCACATCCACTTCCCTTCCCCCTGCTGCTCGTCTCTATCACCTCTACCATCCCCTTATTTTCCACATACTCTATGATTTGCTTATTTTTTTAGGGTACTGTCTGTCTCTCCCAAAAGAATGAAAGCTCCCCACGGGCAGGAAATTTGTGGAGTTGTTCATTATGTATCTCCAGTATCTAGAACAGGGCCTGACAATAAATGTTGGATGAATGAATGAATGAACAGATTTGTTCCTGTCCCACAAGAGAGTATCTGTCCAGCAGTAATCTCTCCAAAATGCCCTGTCGACCCAAGTGAGTATCTTTGGTCCCTGGCTCCCCTGCACAAACATCCATACTATACATTTCCTTTCCAACAGCCCCATCCACAGCCCCATCCTAATCTACGAGGAGGGGGTGGGGTGAGGAGCAAAAAAAAAGGTTCAACCTCCACTCAGAACCTTCTAAGCCTTCCTGAGGTTACACATGTGGCACTGGAAGGGGTTTGGGCTGTTCAAGCACTTATTTCAGACCTCTGCCTGGACATCAAGAGGGTAACCATCACTTCAGAGACATCCCTGTGTGACTGGCATGTGCTTGTTTTCTCAGAGGTTTGTATCAGTGGGAAGTTGAAGGCAGTAGGAGAAAAGGGGGTAGTAAAGGAAAAAATGGGAGAAGCAAGGTCTCAGGATCATGGATGGGACTGTTTGGAGTGTGGTCTGGACCCTTGATGCGGAAATAGAATACACGGTGCTTTGCGTCAGTGCCTGATAAAAATGCCCCGCAGAAAGCGTCGAAGTGCTGAGGAATAATATTTGGGGAATCCAGGCTGGTACTTGCCCATGTCAGGAGGATGGATACATGTACACCAGCACCGTGGGCTACAAACTCACATTCTTCACACCAGTGGGACAGCCTTCATTCTTCTACTCCAAGATTTTAAATTTATTCTGCATTATTGCCATTCACTGTGGTTACATAATTTTATATTTATTGTATTTAAAACCTAGGATTTGTGATACATTCTCACCTGTTTTGAAGCCCCCGGAAGAGCAGAGGGAAATGCAGTCTTTCAGGGAATGCCACATCCTCTGATACTCATAAGAGGATGCCCGTGTTCTCCAAGAGCACATGGTGACATCCAGCTGCACTCAGGAAAATGCTTCTCCCACTTTCACTGGACTTTTAAGTAGCAAAAATAGTTTTTTTTGGTTTTT